CTTGTGTTCGCTGGTGGCTGCCACAGGAAGCTCTGCTCGGTTCAGTTCTGAGTAAGACTCAGCAAAAACGAAACAGCTTCAGGACTGCTCTAAACGGCGCCAGTAAAAACGACGATAATTCACAATTTCGGTCTTCACACGTCAACAGGGCGATGAGACCGTTTCGGTAAGCCAATCTGGGTGAAATGCTACGGGAAGGTGGCAAACACAGGAGCAGGTAATGCTCTTAAGAGCTGTCTGTACTGAAAGGGCAGAAACTGAGCCGAGGGTGTCCCTTAGGTGTGCTGAGTCATCTGCTTAAACTGTACCATGAGTTGGTGTGTCGCCGCTGGCAGAGAGTGGCCAGACGCGCTCGGACGTGACGGAGCAGCACATGATACGTCTGGGAGAGAGTACCTCGGGGCCAAATAACATGTTGGTGAGAGAGCTCGGTGTGTGCTCTGTGCCTGTATGGCAGGACTCCCTGAATCCATTTAACTTCGGGTTGATTTAAAGGGAGGTGAATTTTATCCGAAAGCAGAAGAGTTTCTCTGCGCGTCGTCGTGCGAGAAACTTGATGCCATCGGATCCGAAGCGTTTTGCCTTTCACGGACGTCTTTGGCTTGGGAGTTGAGTCACAGCAGAGCTTTCTAGCAACGTGTAGAAGGCTCTGGTCACCACAGACATAACACAGCTTGGGCAGGAGACAGCATTACCCCTGTGTGCTGTAGTCCAGCAGAGTAAAGAATGCCATAAAGCCCTGGGGGTTGTTCCTGTGGTTATGGAATGATCCTGCCTTTCTCTGAAGCACTGGCAGGGTCCCAGAGGAGACAGGTCACTGATCTGATTACAGCGTGTGACATTTCCAGTCTGGGTTGAAGGATGGAATTTCAAGGATTTTTTGGGGGCTGGGAGGCCCAGAAGAGAGGAGGAATTTTTCCAGGTGGTTCTAGCAGTGGACAGAAGAGCTTGTGCAGGGCTAAGCAGGAGAAGGAGACTTGTGTACAGGTATTTTGTGTTTTCAGACTCAGAAATGATGAAATCAAATCTGTCTCTGGTCTTAGGGTAGTATTCAAGGTCTGTGTCTTGGGGCATTGCTAAATGCACCTTGTTGTCTTCCAGTTTAGTACTGTGGATATGTCTTTTTAATTTTCTTTTTTTCTTGGGTTTTGTCATATCTTTATCTTCTTCAATCATGCACAGAGGAGTGTGTGTAGATACATATTTAAAACATTAGAAGCTATCAGGTATGAAATTCTTAGTGAGTTGAGGGTCGATTAAAAATGCCATAATACCATGAGGAGGGGGTTTATGTAGCTGGTTGTGTCTTTTAAGTGTATTTGCATTCTTGGCATTTTGCTCGCCTCTTGCAAAATGCTGGAGAGAAACATTGAAAAAACCAACATTGTACAGTGAAAGTGAATGTGTTTTCCTACCTTATCTGTACAAGGAAGTGTTCTCCTTCTGTACTGGTGGTGGTTCAAATAGCTGTGATAATGAAACTGTCTTGTTTCCATCACTTATTGCCATTTGTAATGTCTCCTGTTTAAAGGAGCTCTTTGAAGTTAGGGACTGGTTTGTTGGCTTTTTTTCCCCAGTTATTTCCGAGGTCACAGCAAGTCCCAAACCTTGCACAAGGCACACCTTTGTCCCAGCTTCACCTCTGGACATGTCCACCCTGTCTGTGTGCTTTGTGCCTGGGAGAGAGAGATGTGTCTCAGCACTTGGCTCTGCTTCCTTGTCTGAAGGCTGAAGATCCAGCAGGAAAACTGGACCCTGTATGTGGAAGGCTGTGGCAGCAGCACTTGGTTTGGTGCCAGCCCGTGTGCATGTGGCTCAGGAATCATCAGGCCCTGTGGTGCCGTTCCGGAGGAATTCCACAGTTCTGTGCTGATCTGCTGGGGAGATTTATGAGCAGAGCAGGGTTTGTTGCTCCAACAGCTCTTCTCTTCTCCTGTGGGGAAAAGGTTGGCTGCATCACACCAGTTAGCCATCTGTTCCAGCAGCTCCCTGTGCTGAAATAGATGACTTCCTGAGGTTTCTCCCAGCCATATGTTCTATTGTCAGTGCTGCCCGTGGCCTTCCTTTGGCATTTGGGCACCAGGACACATCCACAGGCACTGCAGAGTCTCCCAGAGCTGTGCTTATGTGTAAGCTTCGCTTCCCATTTTGCCCCAGTTTTTTGAGACTGGGTAAGACCCAGCTGGATAAAAGATCAGGGTGCCACTAATTACTCCCTCCCTCCCCAGACTCCCCAAACTTCTCTTTCAGCTGTGGAGTTTGTAAATAAATACAACCCGTTTCATTATGCCAGAGGTATGGGTAGGAACAGCATGTCTGTTTATTGTGATTTTAAATTAGTTAATTCATGTTGAGGTTGTGTTCAATTCCTTTTTTCCAGCTCAGAGCTCAGTCTCCAGGTCCACATCTGCAGTCTTGGCAGTGCAGCTTCATGTTAGCTTCTGGTTTTTAATCTTCTTAGTTAGTAAGGAACTATTCTTTTCCTTTACACTTGGTTAATCATCTGTGTTTCACATAGACTGCTCAGTTTGTTTCTGAATTGCAGATGATTCTCGGAGGCTCTTGATAGACACTTGAGGAAGCAATGTGATTTAGCTGTTCAGTTTTGAACCTTACACGGTGTTTCATAGCGCAGCCACACACACACTTGATTTATCAAGCTGTGTACTGCTCTTTGCAGAAGGATTTTTGTGGTGTTTGAAGGTAATTTCTGTGGCAGATTTGGTTTACAAAGCATCATTCTAGCTGGAATACTTGATGCCCAAGTTTACTTAATATATAAGGGGTCAGAGAGCAGGGGAAAGCTTGAAAATAAATTTCCTGGATGTTTTAGGAAGAAGTACCTTAAAAGTATTTCACTTGGCCTCTGGTGATACAGGTAGTGGGAATGATTTAGCTGTCTGCTGACAAGGTGAAAAGAGTTAGTGATTTGGAGGGGAAAACCTGAGCCAGCTTGACATGCTGTGGTTGTGCAGTGGTGGTGGTCAGGTTAACCTCAGGCAGTGCATCCTCCTTGTGCCACCCTGTCTGGGTGACACTGGTTGCTTAGGGATTCCTTGCTGGCTGATAACCAGGGCCTGTGTGGCATTGTGCATTGTCTTTCAAAGAGAGAAGTAATTTTTCTTCCCAGAACCATAGAATAGAGTATCCTGAGTTGGAAGGCAGCCACAGGGATCATCCAAGTCCAACTCCTTTTCATTAGCTTTAGAGCTAAGCTTTCATGTTTCATTGATGAAACATGGCTAAAAGCTTAACTACTAACTCTTCATTGTTTGCCTTGGCAAAATGATGTTAACTGTGAACAGCATTGCACTACATTCATTCTGGGAAAAAAACCCTGAGGCTTATCAGAGTCTGTTCTAGCATTAGAGTTTTTACACTGTTTTAAAATGCCTTTTTCTGGATGGCACAGGTCTTCATTTCAAGGTTCTCTGTTTGCCTTTAGAACTGAGATTTTCATTCTAATTGTGAGGGGTTCTTCAAGCTAAGATTTGATAACAAAAGGTTGCTGTTTTGCTGGTGGAAGAACTTTCTATCAGAGGAGATAGTAGCAAGCAAGTGTACACTCCTGGTTTGAAACTGAAGCTCAGTGGTGTGTGGGGAAAGCAAAACTAACACATCTGGGTGGTTGGGGTGGGTTCTTTGTTGTTGTTGTTTTGCTGCTTGATTTAGAAAAATCTGTTTGGTAATAAATCTATGACCTGCACTGTTTGGTTTTTTTCTGCTGACTCCACTGGTGATAGAAACTAAGCCAGACATCAGGAATGATTTTATTAACAGTTTTCTTTTGAATTATGATTCTTTTCATATCACTTCATTAGTCTGTTCTTTTATATTTCTCTTCACATGAGTTCTCTTCAGGTTTTTTTGTCCCAAAGGGATGTTTTATCATTCATTCCCTTATAATTAGTAACATTTGATCCTCTTAGCATTTTGATTTGAAAAAGCCAATAATAAAGACCTCCCAGGTTCTCCTCTATTGTAGTTTCAGTGTGATTTCTCAATGCATGAAAGATGTTCCTTTCTCTGTCAGTACAATCTCTGGGCAGGGAGTAAATGGTAGAAATGGGAGTTGGAAAAGGGTCCTTGAGGAACAGTTGTCACTTGCCCAGTCTAGAATTACTTCTAGAAATGTTCTTCCTGCTTTTGAAGGATGGAGCTGCTTGGTGGGTGGACTGAGGGCAAGTGACTAATGCTGGATGACCCCCAGGAGATTGCCAGGGTAACTGAGATGTGATGGATGAATCTGTGTGGGGCTGTGCAGCTCAGCAGTGTTCCCTGTGGTGTGGGAGAGCTGCACTGCACACAGTGTGTGACTGTGCCCTGAGCCTTTCACCCGGTCCCTCTCGAGCTTGTGGCACCTCACACGTTTCCACAGGGTTACTGGGTGCCCATGCAGAGCCCACTGGACTCCAGAGAAAGCTTCCTTGGGATAGAGGCTTTGGGTCAAGCCTTGTCCTGGTGAAATTCTTTAAAGCTCACAGTGAATGCTGGAACAAATTGGTTTAGTGGAATAAGCACACCAGCCCTTCAGAAACTCTTGTATTCAAATCTAGTTGTTGTGAATTGTTGTTAGTAAGGAAAAAAAGAGAACAGAGAAAATAAAAGCTAATTGGTCTTATAACTTCAATGAGATAGTTACCTGTCTGGATTGTTTTTCAAGCTGTGTAGCAGCAGAAATGGTTTAAAGTGGCTTTTCCATAGCTGAAATGAAAACAAGTCATGACTCAGTCATTTATTTAGTGTCAGAACTGCACTCCTAGCTCAGCTCTACCCCAGAAGTGGCATTTACCCAGCACAGAGGCTCTGGGGTGCCTGTCCCAGTACAGAATGCTAACTCTGTGTTTCTGCTTCCTTCCAGGTTATGTTTCACACTATGTGCTGACTGTCTGTATTTACAGAAGATACTTACAAACAAACAGACTTTTTTTTGCAAGATTTTGATTCCAGTGGAATCTGTGCTTTAGATTTTTGTCTCTGTCACATTAACTCCTGAAGCAATGCCTGTACAAGCTCCACAATGGACGGATTTTCTCTCCTGCCCCATTTGCACACAGACTTTCGACGAAACCATCCGGAAGCCGATCAGCTTGGGTTGTGGCCACACTGTCTGCAAGATGTGCCTCAACAAGCTCCACAGGAAGGCTTGTCCCTTCGACCAGACCACTATCAATACAGACATTGAGCTCCTCCCTGTCAACTCAGCCTTGCTGCAGCTAGTGGGTGCTCAGGTATCGGTGTTTTTCTTGCTAAAACTTGCTAACACTTGCTGTGTTGTTTGCCTCCTTTCTTTCAGGAGGACAGGTCGTGGATAATAAAGAATATGGCACTGTGTTAATGGTGTGTAGAGTAGACATCTACCTTGTTGTAGTGGTCTACAAAAAGTAGTAGATCTGCCTGGAACAACAGTTGAAATCTTGGCTCTACTGGTCACTGATGGTGTGATTTTTGTTACATCTCATACATCAGCTGTCACCAGAATGGGTCTGATTTTTGTTACATCTCATACATGAGCTGTCACCAGAATGGGCTTGTTGTTGTTCCCTTCCTTCTTCCCTGACTCCTACTTAGCCATGCTTTTCCAAAAGGATGAGCTGGTTAAGTGAGCTTATTTTTAGTGGAAGGACATTCTTCTAGGGTAGGTTATGTGCTTTACTGTATTCACCCTCCAACTAACTTATTGGTGAGGAACCAAAGTGTAGATGGGATGCAGTTACCATAAAGAACTGATGGTTTTGTGTTGTTCTGCTTCTTTGTCTGGGTTTAGAGGAGCTGGAGGCAGCAGGAAGTGCAGTGAGATCCACAGTTCAGGGAAGAGCAAAGAATTGTGGAGGAGCTGTAACGTGTGGAGGAAACAAAGATGCTCTTACGTTGTGTTTTATGAAGTCCTGGGACCTAGAGATCCAGGTGTGCTTTTGCCACTTCTTAGCTTAGCAAGTAATAAGGCTAATTGTTGGTTTGTTTTGGTGGTGTATGGCCAAGAAGTTATTTCAGAAGCTTCAGATCCACTAGTGTTTCTGGCTGTGCTGAGTGAGTCATCCTGCTCTGCAGGAGAAGGCAGTGAGACTGCACTCCCATTTCTGTGACATGCTGCCATCTTTGAAGGGCTTCCAAGCACTGTGAGATCTGTGGGTGATGCCATAAATAAATATTGTCATTCTCTTGCTCATACCTCCTTCCTTCCTCTCTAGAGTTTGTAGAATATCCTTCCTTCCTCTCTAGAGTTTGTAGACTCTTTTTTTTACAGTTTTTTTAAAGTTTTTTAAAGTTTGTAGTTTGTGTTCCAGCTGTATCTGAATGTCCACACTCATGATAAATGTAATTTTTCCCCCCTTGCATTTTTGGGTTGGTTTGTGTGCACTTGTTAAGCTTGGTGAGCAGCTGTGTGATAGCTTTAACTTGGTCTTTGCCTCGATTAAAATTTCCATAAAAACAAGATCCTCTGGAATGAGCTGGAAAACCACCTTGCTTCTGTATAGCCAACTGAGAATTTTATTCTCGTTTTGCTAGTTAGCCAGACAGTTTTCTCATCCATATGTGAGGTGTGAAGAAGAGTTGGCTTTATAGTGATATGTTGGCCTTGAGAGTGCTCTGAGCTCCAGGTCCTGATTGTAAACTAAATACATCATTTTGTGCTGTTTTTTGTATCATAACATTCTATGTAATCAGGATTCACAGGACCTTGTTTCATGCTGACCTTAAAGCTGCAAATGCTACCAGGAGCCAGCATTCCCACCCCTCTCATTGGCCACTCACTCCTGCATGTGTGCTGCTCCCAACATTCTGCTACCTAAACAATAGCTCTGAGTGTTTCTTGCTGACAAACTTTCCCCTGAAGAGAAGTTTGCACCACCTTCCCTGCCAGCTCCTAATTTCAATGAGCATGTGAATGAAAT